GTCGTCTGCTATATCCTTAACTATTACGAACATTCTTTTTTTGATTGATCGTTGTGAGAGAAGATTACTCAAGTGACAATCTATTTTCTAATAGATCAATAATAAAATAGTGTTATTTCTTTTTCTTTTTATGACTTTGCAGAAGAAGTCGTAGAGATAAGAAATGAGAAAAAGTCAATATAGAAACTAAGAAGTCATAAAGACGATTTTTACGCAAAGAATAATTTGTTTGTGAAATTTTTAAACAATTTCTTTTTAGTTTTTATAATTGATATTATTGGACAAGTTAATAATTTCATCAAATAAGAATGATTTGTGTTAATCATATCCCTTTGATTTCTATGTTTACTATGATGATTTATGTTCATTGTCAATGGCGACCTCCTATCAATCAAGCCGAATACGATAGTTATGGATCACTTTTAGCAATGAATGAACATCTAGCTATTTTCGCACAAAACGATAAATCACAGTTTTCTATTATTACAAATCCAACTACACCAGCATTATCACATTACTGTTCAGCACGCTATATTACTATAGAGCACTATCCAAAGTCATGGACCTATTTCATTTACAGTCTTGCAATTGGAGCTAAACAGAATAGTACTCAACTTTATTTTGCCTACATTGATGAAGACTGGAGAAACGATGTCTTTTTGAGCGTTGTTCGCTTTGAAAAACGTGACTCAGGATGTGTTGCAATAGACGCCTATTTTTCGATATATCTTGGAACAGAATATATGCGTGAAAGTTGTATTGTCGGCATGGATCCTTATGGAAAACGAGCTTATGCGGTTGGAGTATTTTATACTATCTTCGTCGACATAGAAACCGGTCAAGAATATATAGTCTATCATTCGGATTTGCACGGTGGTTTATCTTATTTTCAGATCTTCTTTCCAAAAGCTATGGTTGTTACTGATGACAATCAACTATTTATTGTTGGTCAAAGGCAGATTTCTTCAGAATATCATCCGTATTTGTATTTATTCGATTTTTCCGATATCTCAATGGTTACTTATCACACAAGTATTGAACTGTCGACTTTCAATTATGGACAGGAAGCTATCAATATGAATCGTTACACATTCATGTCTATTTCAATTAATGAACGCTCTCGAAAGGTGCTTGTTGGTATTCCATCTTTAGACATGATTGTATTTTTGACTTACAATGTAACCAATTATGTAATGATTGCCGGTTATCATGTTTTAAATAAAACTGGTACAGGATATGGCAAATCAGTCACGTTACTTGATAATCACACTTATGCTGTACTCGCTTATGAATTGCCAACTTTACCATGGTCTACATCACAAATACAGGTTAGGAGAAATATCAGATCAACATTTGTATGAAATATGTTTGATACGTTCGAATGCGTAATGTGTAAAACGACTTTTTTTTCTCTTTTAATCAAGTATTATTTCATGAGGTTCAGTTTATGTGAAAAACTTCGACTAGGGAATAAATGCTCGTTTAATTCCAATACAGAAAAGTATGTAATTCAGCACTCTTCTTTTTTGCGTTCATATATTTGGAATTGAACTTTTATTATGCTCATCTTTTCTTGTGATGTAACTATAGTTGCATTTGTTGATAAGCCCAAAATTCTGTATTAGACTTGATAAATTGGATTTTTCCAAATATCTGAGAGCTTTGGTAATAAGTGTGACAGTTATCCACTAGCTAACTCATCTTACTGACCTTCCAATCTACGCATTAATCTATGATGGATGTTCTATGGATCTTAATATAGATAAATGAAACTACGTTTCTAACCATACTTACATTGTAAAAAAATTATCAAAATTTAGAGGGATTTTCAAATTGCATGATAACATACTTCAGTTACTTTGAAAAAACAAAACTTACTAGGATGTACAAGTCAAAACCAGCGTAGCCGTTGTTTCACAATAATATGACAAGTTCAGTTGGTTTAAAAAAAAGATAAAATGTGCACCAGGTAATTCCTTTCAGAAAAAAACAGTAGAATACGTGATAAAAAACCACAAATCTATTTTGTTAAGATGGTTAGAATTTGTTGAACGTCAAACAACTTGCACGAACACAACCCAAAAGAAGGCATCGTAATACTCTATCTCATTTTATCCATACACTTTCTTAATTTGTTGTTCTTTCCCTCATTCCTTCCATTTTCCATATCATTCTAATTGAGACTAGCACAAGATTACCTGAATTTATGTGTAGATCACTTATCTTTCTTGTTTCTTTTTCTTTGTTTTTACCTTTTTGCTACTAAAATACACAGATCTCATACAACATAAATCTTTCTAAATTCCGTTTCAACGACATTAATTGAAAGATAGGTATACATATCAAAATTTTCATTAGATCTATTCTCTGGATAATATTGAAGAAAACGATCGGCCACTCTATGTGTATCCCAATAACCAACAGATCATTCCAGTGATCGATTCAAAACCAGCTTCCCCTACTATTCTCACTCTTGTCTCATGGAAAGAACATATTGCGTTAGTACTTGATGTTGGGATCGCTCTTATTCTTCCAACTAGCCCACCGGGAAGCTGCTCATCAAAGATCGATGATGTTCTATTTAATATGAGTACTTACACATCGGCACTGTGTATTCCAGGTACTGCACGAAATACAACAAGTTTTGGACCTTGCCTTCTATGCCCCTCAAATATGAAAAGTAACGGTAGCGGAGCTATGCAATGTTATCCATGTCAAATAAATAACTCTCTCTGTTTACGTGGATCAATCTATGAAATCAACAAAAACAAATTAACAAACTATGATCAAGCAGAACCCTATCCAGATTCACCAGATGTAACAGAATTCGATGACATTCTTTTACATAATATATTTTTATTCAGAACAATTTCATCAAGTTGTCTAGTTATTTCACCATTATTTTGGGCTACATTAGCTATAGCATTATCATTTATTATCCTCATTGTTATGATTATACTTACTTATTTTCCTGAACATAAGAACTACCGTAGATTAATAAAAACTATTTTCAAACGATTTGATTTATTAAAAGAAGGAGAACTCTGGCTTGGTGGACTTGCTTCGATTATTATTGTTGTTTTAATCATTTTTACATGTCGATTTAGTGATATGTTT